GCGCGATGGCTCTATCGCAAACTATAGACGCTGTCGCCTTTTCTATTTGCTCTGCAGCTCGCTGTATGCTACCCAAGCGAAGGGAACATTGAATTTATGCCCTTCGTAGCTTTTTTTGGGCAACTCAAAACCGTTGGCACACGTCAACACGGCTAATTGCACGCATTTGAAAGTATGACATTGATTTTACGCGCGTACATGCGATGAGTCATTTGAAGCAAGCGCGCCCGAAAAATCACCCTGGAGTGGGGGGGGGGGTCATTGCAATCTGCGTAGTGATACCTTCCCTGACTCTCTTTTAAACTTTTGTTTTGTTGGCAGTCTCTTCCCCATAGAAAGTTGTTAGGAGTTGCGCTAACTTCAGCCGAGTTTCCTTCAGCTAATCAAATTCTTTTTCAGCTGGGCTGGAACAGAATTGATGTTGTTGTAGTATATCTCCACTCTTTTACAAAGTTTAAGAGCTTTATTGAGCCTACGTGGGCCAAATAAAGGCGTATTGAGGTCGTCATGTATAAAATCGTTTAGGAAGGCGTCGATGTGGACGAGTTTGAACGTTCTCAAATGGACAAACTACGATGGTTGTTATCGCCGACACCATTTGACGGTCGTTTAATGAGCCATTCTCAGCTGACTGGAACGGTCAAGGAGATCGGGCCACGGTCAGCGATGACATTTGATCAGATTTCATACGATTTGAAACCAGGAGAATCCATATCAGACCCTTTCCCGTAGTGCCATAAAATCTACGCGATACACCTTCTGAATTAATGAGGGAATTTTTGCTGGAGACATCAATTTGACAGTAATTGAAAACTCTTGTGACCCGGCTGAACGGTTATTAGAACCCACATCACTCTGTGCAGTTAAAGTATTTTCAGTTTACCTTTCTTTTTCAAGCTATTCCCCAAAATCACATGACATACGGGACATTCGAGAGCATGTTGTGTGATTTCAGACTTACTTTCAAAACGGCCTACTGTACAAATGCCTTGTCGGCGCTGTCAGCAGCAGGTATCGAAGAAGTGACACGTCTCGAGCGGACTATACGATACCAGTTCGATGGCGGACCGATTCCGGATGATGAAACGCTTCTCGAGATCGCCGGTGATCGCATGACGGGTAGGTGGACGGCCCTTCGTTGTTAGCAGCGGTGTCGTAGTTCTGTGAATCAGAAGATCGTGTAGGCTGGTTACATCATTAAATAGTAGTTACTTCATGTGAATTCTCCAGATTGAAATGTCCTCAAAACATGGACAAGAAGTGTACACCCTCATACCCTGAATGGAGAGGGCGTGATTGCGTGCGTACTTCTGTGACCTGGCAGCGCCTGCGCTTTTGGTTTCATATTGCCGTTCTGAGAGATTTACAATCAGGTTTCTGTCCAGCGTAAGGCTGGATGACAGTTGTCTCAAATGGGAAATCCCACAAAAAATGCGCGCGGGTCATGGGGAAAGGTTTGGCACGGCGCTAGCCCATTCCCACCAATTTTCTGCTTCCCAGTTCAGCGACTAGTGAGAAGCTGGCAGGGCGCCTAAACTCACCCGGCGCTCCTTCTGAAGCGCCCCAATCTACAAGTGAAAACGTTGTTTTCGCATTTGTGGATGACAAGCCACGTGTGTCTGTCTGTAGGTGACTTGGCGAATTTATCAGGTTTAGCCTGACTGCTAAGCCGGAGAGTGTGGGCGAAAACCGTGGCTTGGGTAAGAGCATGAGTCAAGATATAGCAGAGCATACTGGAGTAAGCTGCCCCGCCCCCCTGCCGAACAGTCGCGCGGATTTGGGACCGGAAGCTACATGCAAAAAAAGTTTGCAAACAGATAAGGGGCCCAGCCGCACGTCGTCCCAATGCAAATTCCCAGAGTATTGCGAACCCGAGCTTCAGAAAATCAGTGTAAAATTCCCATGAACGGGTGCCCAGTGATATGAAAAAACGCACATTTCTTTTTTTGAGCTTGTGCCATCTTTTCACGGTAGCATTGTCGCCTAGGCTAACAGGCACCAGCCATTACTGTAACTTACTGTAATAGTGACTGCTGCTTTTGAATGGAATTCTCAAGAAGTGGTTGAAGAATATGGTATTTTGGAGAATCAAGAACTGAAGCTCAGTTGAGATTTCTGATATTAGGGGGCTGGAGCTGGTTCTCACCGCAAATATTGCAATTCTGTCACGACCGCTGATTTTCTTGAGCGGCTTGCAGTTTTTGGAATTTCAATCTTTATCATTTTTTTTCTCAAGAAGAGTGTATCAATAGATTTGTTTCCAGAATGCATCTATACGGATCAGATTGATTTCACGCCTATACGAGGTCGAGAGAAAGTCCTCGAAATAGATGTCCTCGGAGATTCGACGAACCTTGACAAGGTGAGCCTGGTGCCACCGCCCTTCGAATCGCAATTGAAAGTCACGGTTAGGGGTCAATCCCATAGCCTTTCTAGTTCAAGGCCAAGCAGGACGATTTGAAGTTTCGTATCCCAAAGATCTCCCGGATTTCGGGGCGAACTCCAAACACAGCTTGATACAGTTTCTTCCAAATCGGGGCTCAAGCAGACTGAAAGGGCATTGGCTCAGATACCGTTAAAGGGCCCTGAGAGATACTATAGCCCTTGCAACGGCCAAAAAGTACATTTTCAGGCCAATGAAGAGCTCGGGTTGGCGTTCGATGAAAACGATCTTCTATACTATAAAGATCTATTCGTCAACAAATTTCAAGAGGTATTAATCGATCTTTGAAAAAACGGAAGTATTGCTCTGGCTCCGTCTCTCTGCAAAAGTCCTTGTTCTCGTTCTGGTGTAACACGTCCTGAAGCTGGGGAAATTCCTGCTCAGTACGATCCTCCCACCCTCCCCCTCCCACCGCCGAATTTTCTCTCACAGCACTCCCTTTTCTCTTTCTGTCACAACCTATCACCCCATCTTACCTTACGTTCCCAGGAGTTTGCCTCTAGGGCAGGGTGAGGACAGGGCTCATCATTGTTGGGAGACTCCAACACCGACTTCGCCTTTTCTTCGGCGTTGTACGCGACCCCCCCCCAAGCCGCTCTGTCCTTCCTCCGAATCGAGCCGCTCGAGGCGAGTGTGGGGGGGGGGATAGTGCGCCATCGAACAGAAAATCAAAAGTAACCAACCACTCCTCACAACGACCCAAACGTAAATACGATCCCCCCCACATTATCAAATACGACCTCTCCTCCTTTAGCAACAGTCCACTGATGGCAAAAAATCAACTATCAGAAATAAATTTTCTCAGCAAAATACGACCCCCTCCTGGCGACCTAAATAGCGCCTCCCTACTGGCGACCGAATACGACCCCCCCCTATTGCGGATTCCCCAAACAACGTATGTTACCTGGGTGGGAAGCGTAGACAGCATCCGGTCAGATTGCAAAAATCGTATTTCCCGACGCCTCCACCTAGGTGAGCATAGCGCGAGTGAAACGGGAAAATCAAATCAGAGGAAAAGTTCCCGAACCAAATACTACATCCTTCCCCTCTCGCTACCAAAACAGGACCCTACTTCGAGAATCTCCAACGTGCGTACTACTCCTATAGCCATGATTGGCAAAATTTGTGACAGGGCAACCAGAAACGAATAACCCGTGAGCAACTCCTACTGATATGTGTAGGTGGTGTGGCTTATGGTGTAGTCTTCAGGAACCCTACTGATGTGGAGCTGTTCGATTTGGCGCAGTCCGACTCGGAGCACTCTCGTCATTGGTTTTTCCGTGGAAGACTGATCGTTGACGGGAACGAGAGAAAGGTAGGCGGCCGAGTAGGAGTAGGCCTGCTTTCATCTACAGCTATGGTTACTTTTCATTATTCTCTCTGTGACCGTATTCGTACTTCGCGACATCATCCAGTCGCTCGACCGCGATCGGCGGTGCTAGATAACAATCTCTGAATGGCTGAAAATCGTCTTTTTCCGATGGAATGCGCTGGGCCGCGCTGAAATCGTGCGCTCGAGTCGCAAAGTATAAACACATTTCAGATGACCATGTAATGTTTCCCGAGTGTGTAGCGTAGGCCAAGGCGCTGCACCAGCAGCTAACGCGCGCGCTAATATTGCTCCGATAGCACGCCCTAGATTTCAAGAGAACTTTTGCAGAGTACAATCTTTCCCAAAAGCTCTTCTCTGGCACAGCCCCCATTCCATAAGCGACCAATCATTTTACCAAATTTCCAAAAACTTTGTCTTTGCCGATCAACTGTCAGATATAGTACTTCTGGGGCGGGCACCGCCGAGTAGAGATATGTAGCGCGTCTGGGGCACAGGAAAAATCTACAGTCAAAGGATTCTGCTATACGACTTCCTAATCACCAGTGACCAAATACAGCTACGTTGTAGATCGCCAACGTGTGTCGTGCCCTGACTGGTTCTCACGAAATAGTCGTGAAATTCAATTTCACTCGCGGCATCAGCTAAAGTCCAGTCCAGCATCTTGGGCAGCAAGCAGCTCATAATCGTGGGTGAGGGTCAGGAGGTCCGAGTTGCGGCACCGAGGCGAAAGCGGATATCCACCTGGCGTCCCGTGCACGTCATTCGCTCTAGCAGCCCACTGGTTCGACGGCAAAGTGCTAAAAAAACTGAACAACCACCTAAGAAATGCGGCGCCAACCGAAATTGTGTTTCGTTGCGATTTGGACCTTCCGGCTGCCTTGATGCGGAGCAAACAGATTGGGAGGGGGACAGTTGCGCTGATTTTTAAGAAGTGCTTTCGTAATTAAATGTGGATTTCAGCTGGATGCGCTTACTCTTGCCCCTCCAAATGCACTTTTTCACAGTACTTTACTCTGTTTTGTTTGTTTGCGAGAAAAACTACTAGTATATCCGATTTTAAGGAGTCATTGATGGATTCAATACGAGCCACCCAGCAACACTCTAATCCGAATAATATCATCGCCTTCTGTGATAACTCGAGGTAGGGCAACTTGAGATATTTTAAGGATATTTTTAAGTACCAGGAAGTCACACGCATTCGCTGTCACACGACATCTCCACTCAAATAGCTTCTGTAGAAATGCCCTCCTTTCTCCTTAAGAGTAGGATAGTGAGCTTGCATTGCACTTCTTTCAGCGCAATCCGTGGTTTTGACGATCTTCCGGTTCTTCTCCCATCCAATCCAACAACGACATCACCATTGGAGGTTCAACGCCACCTCCGGCACCTAACCTACTCAGCAGAAACTCACAACTTCCCAACAGCCGTTTGTCCGTTCCAGGTATGGTTATGTAAAAACGAAGACTAGGGTTTTCTCTATTGGGTCTTTTGAGACGGGCCGTGCATTTGTTTCCCATTCCAAATTCCGGACTGCACACTTTTGGTGGTAAATCGATGCCTTTAAAGCGTAGGTAGTAGCAAACATGAATGGTACAAGCCTGGGAGGAAAATCTCCGCCTCAGTGGTAGAAAGCATTGCTCGCTAGGGCTGGATTTGATCGCTATTTATCACGGGAATATGTTTAGCGTAATGATCACTAGGATTTAGGGAGCGACGACAGGTACCGGTGGGCGCATTCGCGACACACATGCTACAGGAAGAGGTGAGGAAGGTTACGTTATTCGAAATCGCTTATCCTCTACAGTTAAAAGCACAGCCCATGCTGACTTTATGGGCGTAGGCAGTCAATCTTTGCGTCTTTCTCATTGATACGCACCTTCTTCTAAGGTGGTGAGCAGAAGAGTCGTGCCCATGAAGGAGACCCAATTTTTTACTGTCTCCGCCCATGTGATCGATGTGGAGTGCATCTTCAATGTTCAGGATCGCACGAAATCGCCGGCATAGCAGGATACTCTGTTGGAAATCTACATCTCCCAGACTATCACATGAAGTGGGAGGATAGCGATGACAAGTTCCCATATGCATTCAGTCATCCACGAAACGTAAGTGAAAGTCATGTCTTATGAGAGATAACGGTTCAGCGCAGCACTAAAGTGGACGTGAGTCCGGAAGTAGGGGAGTTACGATTAGGGGGGGTACCGATTCTCGACTCCCGAAGAAGGTGGGTAAAGTAATCTAAGCCTTTCTCAGAGAGGTTCCAAGGCAGTCATTCTGTAAGCCTGGTTCAACTGCTATTTTTCCGCGCTATTAGTTACTGTTTTTCCTCAACCAGTGAGCTTAGCTCACAAATTTCCAGGTTCTCATCGAGGCGTCTAATGGAGCATCCGATTACGGTAACAAGTTCGGTGAACCTGTTGTGTGTGGTTTTGCACGAACGTTTGGACAACGCTTGCAAAATGGTGAACGATGTGAATACGTGAAACCGATCATGTTTTCTGGAGGAATCGGGGCGATCGGTAAGTCAACTCATGTAACAATATTTGTGTTGTTCTAGTGAGGCTTGAAGATTCCTCCGAGAATTACCTTGTCCAACTTCAACCTTTGAAGGGGGTGGTCAAGGTCAGGGAACTCAAGTGACAGCGCTGCCTCGCGCCAAGACCTAGTTGTTTGAAGCAAAGAGAAGCTGAAAAATTTGTTCGATAGATTCTGTGCGTTAGCGCTATTCGTATCTCCTAAAATGCATCCTTTTTGAACGTGGTGGGGCCCTACAACTCAAATCGAGGGGCACCTTCTGCATTGGTCCCAGCCATCTATCGGGAACTTGAGCCGAGTTACCCGTAGCCTCATCGAAGTAGAGGAATAACGGCTTGACGTTTTTCACCCGGAATCCCGCTCCTTGAGGCGGAGGTGGTGTAATGGCGTGGCACGCACGGTCCGAGAATCAAATCCCGCATCGGCTCCCGCCCAGGCCAGAGAATCCTACTACCCGGGACATTGCTTGCCTCCCTCCGCCCCCACGGCCGGCCGTGGACCATGCCTTGAAAAGCGAATAGCTGAAGCAAAAGTTACCAACGTATGCGGAAACTTTTCAGATGACGACCAAACGTCCAAAGCAGAACTGTCGAAATGGCATGATGCTGGCGAAGATCGGCGGTCCAGTGTATCGAGTAGGAGTCGGTGGCGGAGCTGCCTCCTCACAATCTGTCCAAGGTGAGCAGCTTTGTACCTCGGTCCTCTAAGTTGCACATGGCGGAACATCACTAATACCCTTCACATTTGTATAAAGTTATTTTCTACATTTGCCTATTTTTCTACATTTTATTTTGTTTTTTTTTCTACTTTTCTACATTTTCTACACTAATTTCTACGATTAACTTTCTAACTTATGGTCATGATAGTTATTTTAATTCTTAAGGTTCACGTGAATCCGCACTGGATTTCTGTGCCGTGCAGCGTGGCGACGCCGAAATGGGCCAAAAATTGCATCGAGTGGTTCGAGCCTGCGCCGAGCTAGGCTCAGCAAACCCAATCTTATCTATCCACGACCAGGGAGCCGGTGGTAACGGTGGGCAAGCCTTGATTTTCTTGTCCTACAACTGAAAGCGTAAGCTGGAGTTTTCAGGTAATGTCCTAAAGGAGTTGGTCGAAGATGGAGGAGCAGTGATCAACGCGGATAGTTTCGAACTGGGAGATGAGACGATTTCAGCTCGCGAGTTGTGGACCGCTGAGTATCAGGTAAGACACCTTATAGCCCTATTGGCTGAAGTAGGGAGGCTAGATACGTCTTCGGGAAACTTCAACCCGAAGGTTCATCTTGTCTTCCTACTTCAGCACTCAGCCGCGACCTGGATGGCGCTGGTTCAGTATCTGGACGCGCCGCATCTCGCTAATCCATTCTGCAGGACCAGCTCTCGATGATAAGCCTTGTTCCGCTCCTAAAGCAAGCCGGAGTGCCCCTTAAAACTTTGAGCAACCCTAACTTCAAAGGGTTTCACAAAATAGCCAGACATTTTAGAAAAACAAAACGTTCTGTTCCTCACAGTAACGCACTCGTGTCAAAAACGTTATTGGGCAGGCAGGACACCTTACTACGATTGATAGTGTCGCATACTCCCGGCACCACCGCCCCAAGTACGGCCCCCTACAGCTTCATAGTCTAACTCCGCTGCTTGCCTCCTCTAATTCTATACTCCTAAAAAAAAACTGGCAGTTCGGAGGAAGGTGCTACACCCACATTGGCCGAGTCAGATATCAGTAAAGTTTACGCAGCCCAGAGAGAGACGTGGATACGAGTACCAGGGCGGAAGATACCCAAGATGTTCCTCGATAAGCAGGAGCAGGCTCTCGCCCATCACCTTCATGTACACCAAAATATGAAGTCATCTCCAGTCGCAGACTGACTGGAGAAATCCTTTGGAATTCACGTCATCCCCAAACAGCTGCGGAACTTGTTTGGAGTCACCC